TACTATTTTTTTCTTGGGTACAATGATAAAAATACTATTAACCAGTCCTGAAAAAATAGGACACAACTATTTTTACTCGTGGTTTTTTTAATCATATATTTATTATATTGAATTTTTTTGTTTAATTTCGTTCGATGTAAAGGTACGATGCACGAGTGAGGGACCTTTTGGACTTCAGCATTTACTTGGACATTAGCAATGAAGTCAAATTCGCATGGAAGATTCAGGTATAACTTTTGGTCACTTAATTACGAAACGATTAGATAACCATATTTTTCTAGTGGATATCTATATTTTTCAATAGAAATTTTATACTTTAAAAAGCAATATAGACAAAAATATAATATTTCATAACATAAGTATGTATTATTTTGTTATTAAAATATGACGGATCAACTCGCGAGACAGTATCCGAAAGAATTTGTAATTAACAAAAAGTGTAATAGCAACAACATTAATGATTAATAATAAAAATAGTAATAATCAGTTTGCTATGGAGTCATTGGATGGCTCGACTTATGAAACTATCCACACTTATTCATCAATAGTGTACAAACACGTATCTTACAATAAATATATTTTAGATTTTAGACCGGTGTCAATACATTAAATAGTGGATGACTCCATAAGAAAACCATTCGATGGTCTCATAGAATTTTTGTAATAATAATAATAATTTTTGGGGATTCATTTCGGATTTTTATAGAGGGACATGGCCGAAAGAGGACACAGCCTCGAAAGCATCAAAGCCAGCATCGAAGCCCGAAAACCGGATTTCGACGCCTACATTGGTAATTTATCTTCACTCGTTCGTCATTTACACTCAAAAAATCCTTCAAACTATTGAAAGAACTCGATTATATTTGTTAATAACTACATACAACATTTTGTTGAACGATTACAAATTCGTCACGAACAATATTGTTATAGCTAGTAATCGTGCAACTTTACATGCATGCGAAATGCAGACCCACAGAAGCAATATGCGGATGCAGTCATAGAAGTATTGCCCACACGACTCATCCCTGACGACAATGAGGGCAAGTACTTGAGAGTGAGGTTGATTCAGAAAGAAGGGGTTAAGTTCTTCAACCCGGTTTACTTATTTGACGAGGGCTCGACTATTTCATGGATACCGTGCGGCCGCAAGCTCACGTGCTCTTACCCGGGCATCACGTTTTCCTACGGTCCCGATACTTATTATGGCCATGAGGTACAAGTATATGAAATTTTACAGCCAAGCAGCAAATGCAAAATGAAATATAACAATTTTTTGTTCAAGTATGAATAGTAGCCATTGTAGCGCGGACAATGTTTTTTGTGGTAATATCACCGAATGGCTATGTAGATTTTAGAAAGATTAAAAAAAATTGTCATTTTTTGTGAAAATATGAAATAATACTCATTTTGTCCCGTAAAATGACATAGTTACCCTTACTATAAAAAACTACTACAAAAAACCGTTTCTGGAAATCTCGAATCCCAGAAACGGTTAGTAAGGGTAATTGTGTCATTTCACAGGGCAAAACATCTATTATTTCATACTTATATAAAAAGCGACTGTATTTCATTTTTGCATTTGCTGTTTGGCTATAAAACCAAGGGACTGATGTTTTTTTCTCAAACTCTAGAGAAAATTCACAATCTCTACTGTCTAGGATGAGAAAAAAATTGTGAAACTATATGCTCGATTGTAAGAATAATGACGACCTTCTCTAGCGATTTCAGTAAGATTTTAAAAAGGTCACGAATTCTTTTTTTTTTAAGAAAAAAAAAGTTAAAAAATCACTTCATGCATGCAATGTTGTGTTTTGTTATTTGTGGTGAAGGTCTCGGTGTTGGAAATGGATGGCCAATTTGATAGGCTCGACGAGCTCATATACGTCGAGAGCCACCTCAGCAACATCTCGACCAAATTCTATGGCGAAGTTACTCAGCAAATGCTGAAGCATGCGGATTTTCCAGGCAGCAACAATGGGACGGGCCTTTTCCAGACCATAATCGGGTTGAAGATCAGAGACCTTTACGAACAGCTCACGTCAACCAAAACCGGGGCCCGTTTGGAGGCTACAAAGGCCTGATGAATTGTTTATGTATGTACACAAATTCTCATGAGTTTGAGGNTATTTTGATTTTGAATATGGAGATGTTGTAACATAGAGGAAATGTGAGGGGCACATTGTGAAAAAAAAAAAGGGGAAAATACTGAGGATTGTGCAGTCTTTGGAAATTAAAACAGACTTCTATTTTGTGTTGTTGGGTGTTAGTGTGTGTTTTGTTTGCTGTTGTGCATGATTTCCTATGTGTTTATGTCCCACATTGAAGAAGAGAATCCAACCATTGTCCAAAAAAACACAACCTTATATAGTGGATATATGTGTTGCAGATACTTTAAAATAAGGATAAACTTTTTAAGCTTAATCATGTGTAGAACTGTTACACGAAACGAGTCGAGCTCGTTTACAGCTCATTAAGGTTCGAAAATAGAGATTTTTTGTAGTTTTCTATAGTTTGGCTCGTCAGAACTCGAGAATAGACAACTACCAAGCTCGAAAATAGAGATTTATACAGTACCAACTACCAACCAAGCTCAAAAGGCAAAAATAGGCAGTGTCCATATCTAATTTCACTAACTTAAAACGAAACTCTATTTGATGTTTTGATATTTACTATCTAGTTTTTAATTAATTAATGTTTAAGATAATAAACAGCTTTTTCTTCTAATTTTATGACTATATTGTTTTACACAACTGTTGACTCATGTGATGCTATACAAATATAAAGGTTGGACATATAATTTGGCAGTGGGGTTTATAATGATTAGAGAATTATATATTTTTTGAAAATATATATACTTACAAATTAAAATATCATATTTTAAAAAATATATAAACAAAAATATGACATTTCATGACATAAATATAAATTTTGTTTAAGAAATACGATAAAAAGTACGACAGATTGACACATTAAGGCTATGTTTGTAAAAGGATTTACTCAATCCAAATTAATTCATACTCAAAATTTAACTCAATTTTAACTCAAACTCACTATCTTTAATATTATCAATATAATTACACAATAACAACCAATCATTAAATAATAACAAATAATCATTTTTACACATCATATCAACTTTAGTTCACTATTCATTCACTCATATAATTTTAATTAACCATCACTTCATATCATTTCTCTCCTACTTTTACATCAAATCAAATTTAATTATTTTATTTTAAATATTATTTTAATATAAATTTAAAATTCCAATAACAATTAATTATACTACTTTTTCTAAATTAACCCTAGTTAACTAAAAAAACTCACTGTGAGTTAATTCACTCAAATTATTTATTTTACAAACACACTTCTATATATATATAATAAGAATTACTATTTACTAAAAATAGTAAGTAAAAAATCCGCCAAAATTAATTGAATTCCATTTTTGGAATGTTTTTTCAATTTATGTATTTTTTATTTATAAAAAATTATAGCACATTTAATAGTACCATAAATTATGGGATTAGTTATATTTAAATTTCAAATTTCAAAAAATATTATCTAAATGTATTTTGAAAAATGAGGATCCCATCTATTATACATCACCTGATCACTACAAATTGATTTAGTTAAATAATTTCTTTATGGATTTATTTTTTTTAATAAATTACACTCAAGTTCACTATAATACATAATTTTTGCATCATACATTCACGCACATTTTATCATATACAGACATTTCAATACTATTGTTATTATCATTTAAAAGATGACAAACAATGAGGTCTAATCTAGGAGATCAAGAGGTCAAGTAGATCTTTGATTAAGCTACGCATTGTTCTTATGTTCCAACGAACTTTTGAGGTCTTCTCTTTGTAGTTATATCAAATTTTTGAATAAATAATTATTCAGAAAATAATTATTACCAAAATAATTATTTTATGGAATCACAGTGTAGCCATATCTAATTCCAGAATAGAAAATTTAAACTAACACTAATTTTAAAATGAATATAATATAATTTTAAATAGACATGTTTTATGTAATTTTGCATGATTTAAATTTCTTATAACATTATCAATAAATTAATATAGGTAAATTGTATTGTATATAGATCTCATATTTTTAATTTATAAATGTTATTTAATGAGATTTTTTTATTTATAAATATTAATAATATCTCTTACCCGTGCATCGCACGGGATTCGTACTAGTTAAATCTTAAGCCGCTTCACATAATAATTATAAAATTTGCAATACAGGGGCGTACTTACCTTACACATCACGCCTTTTCTTAAATTAGCAACTAAACGTCCGATTTTTTTTTTTAATCAAAAGTTCTGTCAAATTCTTGGACAAAATAACACTTCCCTTGTGAACTTTAAATTTCAATTCAGTTGTAAAACATCAAACAAAAGAAGTCTCGTATTCGCATCAAACTTTTAGAGTTCATTTTGTAACTTTAAAAAGTAAAAAACTCTATAAATGGAAAGGTTGGACATATAATTTGGCATAAGACACTAACAGTGAGGCTCATATGGACAAAGCAACTATATATGTGTTTTAAATTTGCATACGTACAAGTTAAAAATTTCATACTTTAAAAGCCAAAGACGGACTTGTACAAGTTAAAAATTTCATACTTTAAAAGCCAAAAGCGGAATTTCTTTACACATCACATCTTTTCTTAAATTAACAACTAAAACGTCCACATTTGTTTTTTCAATCAAAACTTTAAGTAACACTTCCCTTGTGAACTTTAAATTTCAATTAAACTCTAAAACATCAAATAAAAGAAGTCCCATATTCGCATTAGAGTTCATTTTTGGTAACTCTAAATTCTAAAAAGAAAAAAACTATAGATATAACTAGTCTTTT